ACCTCCTCTACCTTTGTTGTCATTCCAACTTCCTTTGCCTTTTCTTTCCTTTTCTGACTGCGCTTGCAAAGCCATATCACTCTTCAACTTTCCTGCAGCTTTCTCAACCATCCTTTGTTCATGAGACTCAAGCGTCCCTTGAAGCTCTTCCTTCGTCAATGTTGACAAGTCTTTCGACTCTTCAATGCCTACTACCACATGGTCGAACTTTGGAGCCAACGACCTCAAGATCTTTGCAACAATTGATCTTAATGTCAACACTTCTCCACATACATTGAGTTGATTCACCATCTTTGTAACTCTAGTGAAAAAATCTACTATACTTTCACTTTCTTCCATCTGAAGTAATTCATATGTTCTCCTTTGAGTTTGTAACCTCGCCTCTTTCACCTTTCCTGCGCCTCCAAACGAATTTTCAAGAATCTCCCACGTTTCCTTCGCTGATTCTACATCACTAACCTTTTCAAAATCATTTGGATCTACACATTGATGGGTTATAAAGAGAGCTTTATAATCTTTCTTCTTCAATTCTTTGAATGCAACCTTTTTTTGATCCTTCGTGTTTTCTACAAGCGGTGCTACTTCTCCCTTCACAAGATCCCAAAGATCTTGATAATAGAAAACCACCTTAATCTGCTTGCACCAATTCTCCTAATTACCTTTCTTGAGAATTGGAAGGTTTGCCGAAAAGTGGTAGTTTGGATGACTTATCGCTATTACGATTTTCCTTCCTTGGATCGTAACCGGAGCTCTAGATACCAGATGTTGGAAATTCAACCACAACCTATGGAGAATTTCACTCAACCAATCTTGATCTCAACATTGTTTCAACTCACGTAATGACAATGAATGAAAAGTTTAGAAAGAAAGAAAGTAAACGTTGGAGAAGAAGAGGAACAATTTTTTGTAGAGAACCTTTGCCCACAAACTGTGAGAATTATGTTATTTCACTTGCAACTGCAAACTATGAATTACAAAATATGATGAGATGAGATGAGATATTTACAAAGTAAGGATTTATCCCTATTTATAGATTTAGGTTAGCTTACACCCCAAGGCAAAGTCCAAACTATAAAAGGCCAAAAATATCTAATCTAATCTTTCTAAATCAAATCCGATCTTTCTAAATCAAATCTAATATTTCTAAAATAATGAATCACATATTTAACAGAAAAGATAATACATTTGCTATGGATGTAGAAACATGAAGATACTATTTACGCGTCGAAAGAACAAAAACGATATCAGACTTAGAAATTCAAACGATGGGTTCTGATACTTGCGAGAGAGGATCATAATTGATCGAGAGAATATTATTTATTCATAAAAGAATTTTGAACTTACATCTCATGATGCAAAATCTGATGTTTTATGAGTTTTAAAATCTGGTAATGCGCTGATGAAAGTGGGCGTTACCACTAGTTTTGATATTTCCTACAAAATTCCGAATTGTCGTTATGATTAATATGACGATTCATATAAGTAAAGTCAAGAGACAAGAATCATAGTCTTAGACCAACGATCCAATGGAAGTTCTTAAAGTGGGTTTGCCAACATGACATCCATATTTCTTGTTTCCAACATTGCCATGTTGTTCAACGGCATATAATTATGCAACGTTCTTCAACGGTTCTTATATTAAAATATTAATTTTATAATATGAAAACTATAATTTAATATAAAATTTTATTTATCATTTTAATTATCATATGAAAACTATAATTATAATATTAAAATATTGATTTTATAATATGAAAATTATATTTTAATTATCATTTTAAATTATAAGTTTAATTTGAATTTTATTTATTTTATTTTATATCAATTTTTATTTATTTTATTTATTTATTTAATATAAAATATAATATAAATAAAATATTAATATATAAAGTAAAGTTGTGAGACCCAATATGAGTTCTTCAGAATTGCACTATTAGAGTGGAAAACTAATTGAGTTGCTTCAATCTGACGTGATTTAATATGTCCCACAAAAAACCTAAAAATGAGTTTACGATTGAATATGCTCTTAAACTCTTGTTTTAATATTAAAGAAGTCAAATATTTTGTATTTTTGTGCAAACGAACTTGTTTTACACGAAGCCTTGGATATAAGTCAAAACAATTGAAAAGGGTATTTGATGGATTGATCTATCTGGGTTCGATAATTTTTAGGGTCCTACTTCATTACCCAACTTAAAATATTGGGTAACTTTACCCACTTGACATGTCTTACATAGATTGGTTATTACTTATATCATTTGTCATGTCATCAGTATTTTATAGTTTTTAATTTTTGCCCATATTATTTTATAATTGCATATTTATCCAAATCTCAATTTATTTTAAATTATTATTTTTAGTTAAAAAAAGACATTATCTTTTCTTTAATTTTCTAAAAGGATGAAATTGGGAAACCTAGCTGAAGCAACCAAAGCATCAGAACCAGCACAACAATGGCGGACGATGAAGTCGAAGCATCAACGGCCGGGATTCCAAAGAAAAGAATGTTTGTGTTCCTTCCTCTGACAGTATCCTTCTTTCTCACCTTCTCATCTTCGTCTTTTTCATTTTCGAAAATTAACTAATAACCATATTAGGTTATCATTTTTTTCTGCATCTAATTTCTATTGTAAGCATGTGGAGTCTCTTTCTTAGGGTTTTGTAATTTCTTTGCTTTCTTTTAGTTTTTGCAGTTCATAACTGTAATCTTAGGATTATTAATATATGTATATGGTTTATTACTAAGCATATATTCTCTCAGTGAATTTTATTTTTGGTGAATAGTTTATAATTTTGTTTCAATTTTATTTAGTTTGTTTTGCGGTTTTTGCATAAGACCTTTTTATTGTTTATGAAATTGTAATTTCTTGACTTAACTGTACTATATCCAAGTTTTGCTCCAAATGGATACCCTTATACTGCATTGTTGATTTGGTTTCTTTTAATTTCTAGGTTTCTTATACTTGATTCAATTTGTATAATCTATTTTTACTATTTTAATTTGTATAATCTATTTTTACTATGTCAATTTGTATAATCTATATTCACTTAGTTTCTTTAGTGTCTTTGAATTGGAATTGTTCAGGATACAATAAACTAGTGAGTGCAACAAATAAATTTGCAGAGTTGAATAAGGTGGGGCAAGGTAGTTACATGAATTCTTCTGATTTAACTCCATGCAACTCCATGCAATTGGACTGGTGCGTATTGTACTGATTCAATAGTAACTTCTGTTACTATTCAGAACCTTAATCTCTCTTGTAATTTGTCTCCAACAATTTGTAACCTTCCATGGTTAATTGAGTTGAATGTGTCAAAAAACTTTATCTTTGGTTCAATTCCTGAAATTTTTTTATTAACTATGATAAATTTGAGGTTTTAGACCTTTGTACTAATAGGTTTGATGGAGTATTTTTAACTCTTGTTTGGAAAATCAAAATGCTTAGAAAGCTTTAGCTTTGTGAAAATTATATGTATGGTGGAAGTATGTTAGGAAACTGTGTGAGACTTTAGAGGCTTGATCTTAGCAGGAACAAGTTTGTTGTTATGCTTCCAAATTCAATTGGAAATCTTGTAAATTTGGAGCTACTAAAAATTTCTGATAATATGCTCTTTGGAGAAGTACCAGATGCTTTGGGAGACCTTATTCGGCTTACCGATTTGGAACTCAACGGTAATCGGTTTTCAGGAAGGATCCCGTTTCATTTTGGAAGAATTTCTGCTCTTCAGATAGCACTTAACTTGAGTCACAACAATGTTTCTGAAACAATTCCTGATAACTTAGGGAGCTTACAAATGCTAGAATCGCTTTAAAAAATTTATATATTTGTTTTACTATTTCTTTAACCACGTTTATATATTTATATCAATTTATTTTACTATTTGTTTTAGATCTTAATTGACATTTATTTTAATCAAAAAGGAAAAAAGTGTTCAATTTTTTCTTTTATACATGTTATTAATATTTAATAATTGATTATAATGATATTAAAATCAAAAATAAATATTAATAAAGTTGTTTTAATTTTAATTTTAAAATAAAACTAAATTCATTTTAGGTAAGAGGAGTTGATATTAACTCTTAATGTAATGGTGAATTTTCTTCCTCGTTTTATAAATTTTATATTTTTGAAAACATAATAAAAATATATATATTTAATTATCTGTGTTAAAATTTTAATTATTAAAATAAAATTAAAAATATTTACTATTTATTATTGTTATTTTTTAAAATTGTGAAATTGTGTAGTATTAATACGAAATGGGTAAAGACAAACTTAAGAAATTGTGTAGTATTAATATGGAATGGGTAAAGACTAATAACTATGAATTTGATATTCCATATATAACCAATTGAGAATTAAAGAAAATAAATAAAAAGTGATGAAAATATAACTGTATCTTTTTTAAAACAAAACCTCTTGATTCCATTTCAAAATTTTCTGGCACCGTCTCTGTACTTAGTCAATAATTTAATTTACTTGAAATTGATTTTTTATATAAAAATCATTTAATTTAAATTTAAATTTAATATTATTTATATATATCTCCCCACATTCTAAATTTTCTAGCTCCGTCTCTGTACTTAGTTAATATTAAAATTCTTGCAAAATTTATCACATGTTTCTTATGTATTGTAATTAACTTCTAACAATACATGAGTTTGCAAAATTCTTCACATGTTTAGCTTCTAACAATACATGAGTGATGTTGTTGGCTTAATTATTTTGTTTATATTTTATTTTTGTTTGATTTCATTTTCATTTGGTACACAGAAAAGTATATAATTTGACCAAGTTTATAGAATTGCATACTACATAAAATTTAGTTAACTAGTAATGCATAAAAAAATTCAATTACATCAATCCAAAACTTAAATTAAAAATTTAAGTCAAATACCAAATAGATAATCACCAATGTGAGAATAAACTGAGTTATTACATAATTTAGTCAATATTAAAAATTAAAAAAAAACTCTCGTAAAATCCATCGCATGCTTCTTATGCATTGTTTGACTTGTTAATTTTCTCCCAAGCCCTCTCCAAAATCAAATCATTTAATTTGTTGTAAGAATTCATTGTCAAATCTAATGCAATCCTTAGTCTTGTACCATCATCAACCTATAAAATAAAATCTCATTATAATCAGTGAAATTCACATAAGTTAAAAATTGATTTTAAGTTAAATAAAGAGTGACATACATCAATTTTATCCACGTCTTCTCTTATGTGCTCCATCCATTTTATCACCCATACTCCACAGTCATTCCTAAATTTTAGTTTCATCATTAGATAGACAGCCAATCAATAAATAATTTTAAAAGAATTAGAATATAATAACATACGAGTCGCATGTCTGCTTTCCTAAATCATTCGGAATTACGAGTCGAAATTCTGATATTATTGGTTTATGTGTAGCTCCATTGGCATAAAAAGAGGAATCCAAGAGTAAATCTTCCATATATATAGCCTGAAAATTAAAAATATTTGTGTTAACAATTATATTATATAAATATATAGTTTACATATATAAATAAGACAATGAAAAAAATCAAGTATATTATTTTACCATTTTTTTTATATAAAGCTTCCTTCTATATAAGGAAGAATCAGATGGGAAAGAATCAAGATAAACTAACTCTTTTTTATCAAGATCAATCACGAGAAGAAACTAGTGCATAGAGTCCCAATCATGAATTGGTATGAATATCTGTATTTATTCAATATTAGTTAATCAAAATTGAATTTACATATATATATATATATATATATATATATATATATATATATATATATATATATATATATATATATATATATATATATATATATATATATATATATATATATATATATATATATATATATATATATATATATATATATATATATATATATGAGAATAAAATCGTCTAACTAAAAGTACTTTATTACCTTTGAAATATTATCTATTTTTCCCATAAACTTGTCTTGGTATATTTCAATGGTACGGTCTGTTCCTGCATTCCATGCCTGCACATATTGCTACAAGAGAATATATATTTGTAATATTATTTAACTATATTGAAAAAAAAGTTACACAAATTAAACAATATAAAGTTTAAAGTTGTGCAAAATGAATACCGAAAAAGTAGTTGGTAGAAACCAAAATCTTGGAAATAAATGGTCTTTTCTTTCACCATAAGTAAACATACATGCTGCTAAATCAAGTATCTGAAACAATATGATAACATTAGAAATCTTAAAATATTTTTAAAAACAAATAATATTACAACATATTTTTACCTCTTGATCAATCAGTTTACGAGGCTTTAAGCATTCAAACAATTTTCTAGTTCCTTCCCAAAATAGTGTATCTGTAACCACTAAAACTTCGGTCTTATAATTAAGAATAAGAATAAAAGTTAATGTATCATTTATATATATATATATATATATATATATATATATATATATATATATATATATATATATATATATATATATATATATATATATATATATATATATATATATATATATATATATATATATATATATATATATATATATATATATATATATATATATATATATATATATATATATATATATATATATATATATATATATATATATATATATATATATATATATATATATATATATATATATATATATATATATATATATATATATATATATATTTTGTGTAATCAATTTGTTTGAAGTAATACTAAAGTTAAAAATAATAAATAATATAAATGACTAACTCATCGGTATTATTGTTTGTGTGATAATCAAACAAATATGATGCCATAGCAAACTCATCATCCTTTAGATTCATCTCCTTTATTGTTTTAAAAAAATAAGAAAAACTCTGCATCAACATATGAGATACAAATAAGAAATATAAAATAGAATTATGAAACATGACTATAAAATATGTGCAAATATGAAATAATTTACTTACATTGGAAATATCTTTTTTTGAAGAAGAAAAGTCTAATTTTTTCCTAGACTTAATGTAGAAACCTGTGGGTGAGCCGGTTGCTACCAAAATCGGGACGCAAGTCTTGTTCTTATGAGAATGTGGATAAAATTCTTGGAGATTTTCTTTTAGCTTATGTTCATGGTCTCTATCAATCTTTGTTGAAATCACATACTTTTCTTTTGCTCTATCTCTTTCAATCATTTCAGATTTATTGGAAAAAGATGTTTTGTGATTTTTAAAAGTATGACAAAATTTATCAAATTTAATCAACATAAATGTCTTAAAACCATCGAAATCTTGTATTACATCATCAAACCTTCTTTCCAATTTTGCCACCCTTTGTTGTAGCAAATAATGTTCACCCTAGTTATTAATATATTAACAACATTAGTAAATAATAAAGTGTTCAAAATTATAAACAAATATTCTACAAATTAAAATAAATAAAATAAAATTATAATTTAATTACCCCATGGTCATTTGCTTTAATATGCATGTTAGCATATTCATCGTTAGTTTCCATTCTCCTTTTCCAAATATGATTAATTTCTCTATGGCTGAAATAAAAAAATAAACAAATAAACAATTATTCTTTGTTCTCTATATATTATAAAATAAAATTTATTAAAAAATAACATATATTTATTAAAATAATATATTCATACCTTAAAGATATGATATCTTTTGAAGATGTATTTTGTGGAATGTACTCTTTTTTATCAAAACTGTTTTCTTTTTCTGCTTTAAATAATAGAGAGTTCCATTCTTCATAGTTTTCATTCTTTTGTTTCCTTTTTAGAGCATCTTCTTGACTGTTTATTACACAAAATAATATGAAATTATTATGAATTTATTCACAATCTCTGTAACAATTTAACCATTGTTAAATTTTAAAAAATCAATTCATTTTATTATAAAAAGAAAAGTTAGATGATAACTAAAACAATTTAGAAGAAACCGTGTTTGAGTATTTACCTGGAGGATGACAGGTAAACTAAAGAGATATTATTACCACTAGAATCTAACAAATGACGTTTGACTCTTTTTTGGTCTGTCAAAGGAGATGTAACAGACTCTTCTTCCATCTCTTTTGCTTGAATATTGTAGATTAATAATCCACAACTTGTAACTTTTGAAAATTAGAAGAAATGAGAGAAAAGTTGTCTCTATAGGTACACTATGCCAAAAATGGCCTTTAGCAGCGCTTTTTTTGACCTTTAGCAGCGCTTTAAAGCGCTGCCTAAAGTGGCGCTGCTAAAGGTAAAGGCAGCGCTTTTTTTTTGTGGAACAAGCGCTGCTAAAGGCATCACTTTTAGCAGCGCTTTTTTACCCCTTTAGCAGCGGTTTACAAAGCGCTGCCTATTCTCCCTCCCCCTCCCCCCCTTTAGCAGCGCTTTATGAAAGCGCTTTTGTAGACCACCCTTTAGCAGCGCTTTCTTAGACCCCTCCTTTCCTAACCTATAGCAGCGCTTTTTTATGCCTATTTTCCCCCTTTAGCAGCGCTTTCTTGTAAAAGCGCTGTCTATACTTCACGTTTTTAAAATTTTTTTTTTTGAAAAATCACATTTTTTATATTTTTTTAGACAAACCTGCTTATAACAATTAAATTCCCTGCTTATAATTCAGGCCTTAAATATAACTTGGCCTTTAAACATTGTAATTCAACACTTGGCCTTTAATTCAACACAATATAACTAAACATTGTACATTATACAATAACACTTTGCAATTTACACATAATTAACTCAAGTATAATTTACACATAATTTAAACATTGTACATTATACAATATACAATATACAATATACAATATACAATATACAATTTACACATAATTACAAATCCAATATACATTATAGAACTCTTAACTCAATCATAAATTGACACCATTCTTCCTTAATTTCTTCCAATTTTACTTTCGAGTACGTAGCGCATTTGAATTCATCAAAATACTACATAATATAACAGAACAAGCACGATTTAATACTAATTACTCAGATGAAATATTGGTTAATTATCAAAATGAATCATATAACTCATGAATTGATCCATACCATGATTGGAATCTCTAATTGACCAGAAAGAATGATTTCCTTCATAAAGCGCAGTACAAAATATCCGCAGTCAATCCCACCACGCTGACGAGGACACTGAATTAGGAAAAAAGCGAACGAACATTTATCAGGATATATAGTTTAAATAGTTTTATAAGTAGAACCACTATAACAGTCAAACATGGGAAAATATACCTCCACTCTGATCCAGTTGATGTTGCTAGCCCTGCTTTTTGGCACTGTTGCATCTCTCTGTGCTCTGTATATTTGTATAACTCTAACATAATATAAACACATATTTAGAACAATGTCACATAATAAATAAACATATATAATTATTCAGAACACTATATATCATCACTTACGTATCAACCATGTTCTTCAGATTTTCATATTTGTTTGTATCGCCATCCAATGAATCTATATAATACACTATTTCTTTAATCAGATTAATTGCGACCAACAACCAGTGACAACTATAAAATAAGACAACAGTTTAGACGGAAATGTTATATAATATGGCAAAAATCGAACAATTATAATAAATGAATTTAGAATAAAAACTAACCCATGGCCAGTATTATATGGCAACATAGACAACTTCTTCGTATTCGCACCCATAAATCTCTGGACTGTGTAGTCTTTGACTGCTTCTGGTGTCTGGTCTATTGTCCGTGAGTTGACACTGCTAGCAGATAAGAATGCGAATACTGAAGTCAAATCAGCGGGGACCAACAACTTGTCATACAAGAGCCTAAAAAAAATATAATCAACATTAGATTATTCAGTTAAACGAGCGAATTTTAAAATGTTCAATTATCTAATTAAAATGGATCGAAGTACCTGATGTAGGAATGCATAACCCCGACGCCCAATTCTAAATGTTTGAAAACCTGGTCGAAATCCTCCTTAGCAAGTGTTTCGGAATATTCAAAACTGAAAATACCTTGATCCATATGTATTAGACAGATGCCGCCCTCAGGCACGTCTGTTGTCCCTACATATGTTTGAAGGCACATCCTAAATTGAGGAACAAATGCTCTTTTTGTCTCGACCTTTTTTTTGGGCACCTTGGAAGTTTCAGGCATGTTTCCCTTGCTGACTTGTTGCGACTGCTGATCAAGAACCTAAAAGTCATATATAAGTTCAGTAAATAATTTATAATAAAATAATCACTTAAACTGTAGTACTAGTACCTGTAACTTTGATGCAGCTGAATCGGTATCCCGCACAATAATTTTATCATCTTTTGTTTTGGATTTTGTGGGAGTCTAAGATCATCATGTCAATAAGAAAGTGTAAATGTCAGAATAACTTTCATGTATGGGTAATAAAACATTGGAATATTACAAGGTTCAACCTACCTCATCATCTATGAAAATGAGATTCGCCGGCCATGCTACATAAGCTCATATCACGTCTCCCACCACTGTTGCGTCTGATACATCGTCTGGTATAGGCAACAACGCCCCCCTCTAATGCAATATCAACAGATACTTTCAAAAATCCAGCAGGGAGGGGTTTATGGTGAAGTAAGTCTCTCAG